CTGATATTATATGGCAAATAGTTATAATTCCTTGCATCCATGATACACCGTTTGAGCTTGAAGAGTTCTAATTTAGACACATGAGTGTTTTCCTCTAGTAATTTCAATTTGTCAAGAGTTGGTAATGATTAAAATTCAATGACACAGTGCAACTTAATGGGTATATTCAAAATGTAATAGTAAGCAAATGGTTAACACTACAAATGGTTGTAAATTGTACTTTTGAATGATCACAAGTGCTCCAATTCAACCTCATAGAATATATATACTGCACTTTTTGGCTTAATTGTTTGTTGTTTTTGTCTTATGGAGTGATCATGTTCTTGAAAGTTGAATTATCATTAATACATCCTGCTTATAGACCATATGTAGAAGCATGACATTGTGTTTATATATTGATTTTTGAATTTTAAGTGTTGATTTTGAATAAAATCTAAACTGTATTAATTTTTATTTAGAAAAATCTGTAGCTTTGCTTGATTTCTAAGCTGAATTATGAACTTCAATTGTTCAATAGATGCATATGAACTACTTTGGACGTATTTAGCTAGCAAATAACTCTAAAAAAATTCAAGTATTTTTGTTTTTAACTCTTTCTTGTTATCAACAAACATTCATTTTAATTATTTAATGGGATGTAGATTGAGGACTAAAGTGGATGCTTTACAAGAAAGTGTTGCTAAAGTAAGAGACGTATTCAAAAATGTTATTGAGGGGTCAAATAACTAAATTAGGCATGCTGAATAGACAATTAGAGTGTGATTTTAATTATGTAAATATTAAATTATTGGATGTTATTTAGACTTGGATTCTATGTATTTAGATATTATTCAATATATCTACATTTTAGGTTTATTTTTGTTTCATGATCAATATTTTGGAATTGAAATAAATTTTATTCATTAAATATAAATGTAAATTGAAATATAGTAGTCTTTCAAATTAAACAGCTTTACAATGTATTAAAACAGTTTTCTAAATCTTTAAAGGACAACTACACAAACCTGTACTGTTAATAAAGGTTAGACAATAGAAATAAACAGTTGTGTGAAATACAACAAATATAGTTGTTTACATTTTACAAATACAACACAGAATAGTAGTTGTCTTATGCAAACATACTTAGTTGTCTTCGGAGGCGTGGTCTGATTTACAATCGGACTACTGTGTAAAAAGATAGTTTGAATATTTCAAGGACAACTACAAAAAAGCAAAGTGTTATTAAGCACTATAGAAGTGAAAGAAACGGTTGTTTCAAATACAACAAAATTAGTAGTCTACATTTTAAAAATATAACACAAGATAACACTTGTCTGATGTTATTTTTGTTTAGTAGTCTTCCAAGCAGCAGTCTGATATATCTTTCAACTACTTTTGAAATTAGATGTCTATATTGTTGAACGACAACACCATGCAATAGGAGTCTGAAGTCGAAAACAACAGTTATATTCATTATAGATAGACAACAAAACATCACAGTTTTCTTTAACTCCAGAAAACAGATGTCTTACTCATACGAGGACAACTTCAAAAACATATACTGTGAAACATATTCACAATATAGGTGTCGTCAACCATATTACACAATTGTTTTTAAATAGTAGTCTGTAAATATATCAGACAGCTGCTCGAAAGACTACTGAAACTAGCACAGTTTGAACTACTAAAAAGAATAGTTGTCAGCATCTGTTTTTGACGTAGTGTTTGGTTTAAAAGACTTAAGACTTCTATTTTTTTTATTTTCATACTTCTAAACTTCTATTCAGGGATATTTCTTTTTTTAAAAAAAAAGAGGGCAAGTAATATCATAAATTACTATATTTAATGTTTTATTAAAACTATAAGATTTAACTTTCAAAAAAATCATATTCTCCAATATTGTCCGATATTCTCCGAAAAAGATCTGTAATTTTTACTCTCTAACCAAAATTATATAATTAAATTTTTTTTGGTTTTGTTTCAAAATTCTAATTAAATTAATGGGTAATGTTATTTTGGTTTCAATTTTTTAAAATAATATTTACATCGGTTTGTATATTTTAAAACTGATTTATATTATTAGTTTAAGTTGATTATTAATGGGAAAAAAACATTAAAAAAAAAGTATGCAAATGCTTAATATATCCATGCTAAAAGGTAATACATTAAAAGGGAAAAAAGTTACAAATGGAAATTTTTTTGTAAATATTGACCTCGATATATGAAAAAAATAATAATTTTTGTTCATCAATAAATGTAATATCCATATTTTTTTGAAACAATATTTTGAAATATGAACTTTTCATAAGATATGATAAGGATAAATATCGATACTAAAGGTCAAAATGTTAGATTCGAGATCGTTAAAAGTTAAATAAGAATGTTAAATCTATTCATACAATGAGTAGTCCTAAAATTTTTATTTTTCAAGATAGGTAGTGACCAAACCCTTTCTTTTATATCAACATTGAAAGGAATATATTAAAAATTAACTTCATGTTAACTTGCATTGTCATTAACCAATATTCATATGGAAATTATTAGAGGTGAAGAGAGTAGCGTATACTTAATTAAAAATTTTGTTATGAATGGGGAAATAAAAAATAATGAATTATGAAAAAATATTATTATAAAAATGAATATCACTATTTCATAATTAAATTTATTCAAATATTTCATACCAAAATATTTTTCAACTTTTATGTGTTGAATTAGGTGACATATTAAGTGTAAAAAAACCACATAAGTAGTGCACAAGTCAACTTTTTCTAAGCATAAAAGTTTCATCTTTTAATACTATGATGGATTTATTGAATAACTCTATTCTTAATAATTTAAAATAAAAGATTTATTGAATTTTTTATTTTTAATAATTTTATTTTTGATAAAAAGTAATACTCCTTCCGTTCTCAAAAACACTTCCTCTTTCATTTTTTCCACTTCCAACAAAACACTTCCACTTTCTATTAAAAAACCACTTTTACCCTTACTTTTTCATACCCTCTCTATCACATCATACCTTTTCTCTAATAATCTATCCATCACATCTTACTTTTACCTATTACATCAGGGACAAAATTGGATATCAACTACTCCCTCCGTTCTCAAAAACACTTCCTCTTTCATTTTTTTCACTTCCAACAAAACACTTCTCCTTTCTATTAAAAAAACACTTTTACCCTTACTTTTTCATACCCCACCTATCACATCATACTTTTTCTCTAATAATCAATCCATTACATCTTACTTTTACCCATCACATCAGGGGCAAAATTGGAAGTCAACTATAATTTTACACTTCCTTAATTTGCCTTATTTTCAAAGTGGGAAGGGTTTTCCCAAACGGAGGGAGTATAATTTAACACTTCCTTATTTTTGCTCCAAATCAAAATAGGATGTCTTTTTAGAAACGGAGGGGGTATATAGTTTAATCCCATGTCAAATACTCCCTCCGTCTCACAAAAAAGTTCCCATTTTGAATAGTATTTAGTCAAATATTTACACGCTTTGACTACAAATTGTGAGAAAGGTATATTGAATTATAAAATAAATTTAATATAATTGGATTCACCTTAAGATCTAGTTTTGATATCTCAAATTTTTTTATCATTTCTTTATTTAGATTATATTTAATTTATGGTCAAAGCGTGTAACTGTTTGACCAAAAATACATCAAAATGGAAACTTTTTTGTGGGACGAAGGGAGTATTATTTTACATGCCACATATATACTCCATATTATGCCACATGTATATTCCATATTATGCCACATGTCAAGTTTTTATGCATTGGAGTCTCAAATTTATATACGGAGTATAAAGGATATATGGTGATATATGATATACTCCCTCCGTCCCCAATTTGATTACAAATTGCGGGTTACGGAGTAAAATTTCCTACTTTTTGAAATCATTTTATTTACAAATTGGTATATGAATAAGATATAATAATTACATATTAAAAAACTACGTCAAAAGTTCTACAAAACAAGAGGCCGGTGACAAGAATATTTTATTTTATCAAATACTTAATGAAATTGCGTAAACAAACCAAAGTTATCGAGATGAGAGAGAAAAAAAATTGTAATCTATTTAGGGACGGAGGGAGTATATGATTATAGTTCACCACGTAATTAGTACTGAGCTATCCCCAATTGCTCGTCCTGAGAGACATCCCCCATTCAGTTTTTAGAACATTGTGGGGGAAGGAGTTTGTTGTGCCATCTTGTGGGTAAATTTCACAAATGGTACCTGAACTTTAGCTGGAATTTCGAAGTGGTACCTGAACTTCAAATCCTTTCACAAAAATCCCTGAACTTACACAATCCTTTCACTAATGAGCCATTAGCCCGTTTCTAGGTAAACTTCCGGTCAGTAGGGCCAAATTCGAATTTTATATATTTTAAAATTTTCAATTTGACCCCATTTCTTCTTTTCTTTTCTTCCACGCCCCGCCGCCGCCTCCTGCCGGTCAAAGTCGCCGGAAAATGAACTTTTTTCGATTCCGGCAGGACCAATGTCATTCTCTTCGTCTTGAGACGAGGATCAATAATATCCAAACCATTTTGTCTAATTTGGCCTGTAACTTCTCGAATCTGAATTTTTCTACTCGAAAAACCCTAAAATTCGAAATTGGATCCAAAATTGGGGGTTTTGCAAATCTTCATCAAATCTTGCAA